AGAGAAGAGCTAAGAAGATGATGAGAAAAGTAAAGCTCCCAGACAGGCTCAGAGGCTACATCTATAGTGAGAAAGGTGACAAATTCCTGGTTTGTTTACCCTTGAGAACAAATAAGGCGGAGAGGAGACACTCTGCTCAATTTGGGACACTGTTATACGAAGAGAGAAAAAGGAGAGAGGAAGAAAAATGACTATTTATTCTGACTGACAATGTTAACATTCAAGGAATAGGGCACACAGTAGTTTTGCTGCTGAGTAACACTGAGATCACCTCCAAGCTGTAAATTGGCTGGCAGCAAGAGAGCAAAGACAGAGAAGGGAAAAGCGATCAGATTAATGTATTGATTTCCACGTTCCTCTTGAAGGAAAGGTAACCAATTACTCCTTTTACTGAAAGGAAGGGAAAAGCTCGGGGAGAGCAACACATCAACAGACCTTTTTCACACACTAATCTTCAAAGACTTATGGATATACTCTGAACTCAGAAGCCAATGAAATAGGAAAAGCATGATTTGAGAAACTTTGAAAGTTAAAAAATGAAAGTTATGTATTGAACTCCTTAAAACTTCCCCAAGCTAGAGCTCAGCAATTTAAAAAAACAACTTTAAAATAAAGGGGCTCTTGATCACTTCCTGCACTACAGTGACTAAATTTAAGGCAAAATAGACATGCTAAGGACTTCAAGATTTTTAGAGTGGCACTTATAGGCTATGAAAAATCATAGCAACTCAGCTTCATATTTTTATCTCTTATTGTTATGCAAAGCAATCTAAATTTCATTCCACAGCCACCTTTTACCTTTAAATCTGAAGAATTTGCTGACTTTTTTTTTTAAATGCTGTCTTACTCTTCCATTTAACAATTCCAAAAAGCTCAATGTCCACTGTTGTCCTTACCCTCTCCTGAAAATTTCTGTAAGTGGTACCAAACAGGCAAGATAGCACATTTTGATATAAATTTGAGATTTCTGCCACTGAAAGATGGCATTGTAGCACCAAACATGATCTCATCTCTCCCATCACACACCAATCCACATTACTGATATTTATAAATCCTCAGTGTCTCAAGTGAAGGTGGTATGTTAATGAACGTAATAAAAATAAAAGCATTCATTGTATATAGAGTTTTCCTGCAAGAGTCAGAACAAAGAAGAATGAGAATTCTTTCTCACTTAGCAAACTGAACCATCTGAACAATGTCACAAAACCTAATACAACTTCCTATAAAATACAGCCCTTTCTATTGTTTTTCATGCTGCACCACTCTTAACAGACCATTAAGTTATGCCAGACTGATATATGCCATGAAAACTTCACAGTGCAGATTGAAATCTATCATACAGTCATATTGCACTTAAATACCAATAGACTGCATTTAATTATCAGGAAATTTGGAAAATTCGTGGCAGGTGTCTTAGCTGTCTGTGTCTTCACCATCATGACAGGGAAGTTCAGTTTTGTACTTGCTCTCCCTTTAGTCCCTTAGCTAAGTTCAAATACTCCACTTCTCTCTTGGTGGCAAAAGTATCCAGGTATTTTCTGCAAGTCTCTTTTTCTTTGGGAAGATGGGCCACAGCACATGACAAAAAACTAAGTAAACTTGACTTACTGCAAAGCAACTGACATGCAAAGAACTGTATTTTCACTTGGACTTAGTTGAAATGAATTTGCAAACTGAGTATTACTCTGTCATCTGAATGACTTTTTGTATTATTAATAAAAACATAACTGGGATATCAGACAGATCTTCATAGATCTTCCATTTGAAGGTGCTCTATCTCAAAGTAGTACAACAACTGCCTTTTAAAAGAGGGTCAGTGTTACTGAAACTTTTGGGCTCTTCCCAACTATTGTGCTTATTTCAGCAGCTATGCTCCTGCCCAACTGCCATAAGAAATACAGCAAAATGCAAAAAAGAGAAAATTTGAACTTGCTCAACTGGAAAATCTACCTAATGAGTGAAATAGCTATAGAAATGGTCTAAATAAGGATAAATATCTTCTTTCCTAAATCCATCTGTTGTAAATCCTGTCAGAAATCTTTTCAAAAGGTTATAAATAACCTATTTTAGAAACAGGCAACACATTTATTCCTAGCAGCAAATTCAAACATGATGAGTAATTTGGCATAGAGCTTTTAAATTCACCAGCTGCCACCCACCTCGGGCAGCACCATACCTCATTTTATATGTGTAGTATGAACCATTTGTTAATAAGTGCTTGAACCCAAGATAGTCATAGGTAATCCCACTCCTGAATTTTCCACTCAAGCTGAAATTAAAATAAAATAACCCACCTAACAAAGTATAAATATTTGAAACAGGCAAAAAATTGACTAGAAAAATGAAAATTAATCTATTTGCAACAAGAAATACAAATCTAAAGCATTAAAAATACATTTCTCTATTCTTCATTGGAAAAAAAAAGTTCAGTCTTGTTTAAAATCTAATAAAGACAAAACATGTCTGCTTTGAATTGGAGACAGTGATGGAAGACAGAAGTACCTAGATAATTCTCTGGTGTTATGAAAGAATATAAACTTTTAAGTGCTCCCCTGCACTTTAACATATACATAAATATACAAATATACGTCTGTTAAAATGTCATCCTCCTAGAAAGCTGTGAGTTAATTACATGAAGTAGTGTTTTCTTTAGCTTCCTTTAGGTAAGGAGAGGTATTTTTGCTCTGCATTCCAGTTAACTTCCTGAGCAAAAATATGCTACAAGATTTGACTCACTGTTCTTGTTAAACAACAATTTTAACAGAAGACTACTTGGGATTCTTGGTGGAGAGAGAAGTTACTTTGGTTTGTCTTACCAGACTAAATTTTCAAAAAACCAGGATAGGTAGCCACCTTCTTTTTCTAGTCTCGAATGAAACAGAGTTATGAACTGCAGAAATTAGCTTTAGTTCAGGTACTTCAGCAAAAAGCCCAATACAGGTACGCACTATCACTGTCATTCTACAGGTACAGGATGAGATAAGTGACTGACTCTGATCTGCTTAAACACAGCAATCCCCACATGCACTTGTATAGGAGTTCTACATCAAACAATCCTTTCTTAAGTCACAAAGACTATCACTAAATTAAATAATTTGATAAAGACCATATAGTAATTATTTCAGGATCAACCATTCTACTTTCAGTTTCCTGAATAAATTCTGTAGAAGAAGAAATTTCTTTGTCACAGTTGTTCTCTTTCAACAAAATAAAATTGCCTAGGCAGGGAATACGTGGAATTGAACACTGCATGATCATACAATCATATACCTGGACACAAAATAACTTGAGACCAAGACCTGCTATATAAGCTTTGGAGATGGAATCAGGGATGACTCAATGGCCTGAAAAATCTTAAAAACGAATGAGTGCTGTGAAATGAGACACTATCAACACTGCTGAAACCTATCATTTTCTTGTGAATTTCCAGTCATTTATTTTATGTAGTTTTCACAGATCTTGAAACAGTCTCCACTTTATGACTTTTTTTTCCTTGCCTCTTAAAAGAGTCAGAAAAGTGAAAAAAAAAAATCTACAAGCAAAGTACTTTTAATCTTGTGGCATTTCTTAGTGAATGAAGAAGCACACTAAATTCACACCACATTTTCTAAGCAAAGGAAAATCTTCTCCCGAGTTTACTGCAGTTTTACACTTCTGCAACACCTGGGAATGAATTACTAGAGAACCAGCCTAATGCCAAAATAATACAGTAGTGATTTGGGTTTAAAGCTTGCTATCAAAATCCCAAATGAAGAAGAGTGAATTTCTATTCTGCAGAGGGAATTCTCCAGGTGGGGATAAGCCATGCTGTGACTGTGGATCTATTTGGCTTGGTTCCATGGATGTTAGTTCAAGCAAGTTAATAAGAGGAGCTCACCCTAGTTCTGGAAACAGAGGCCTAACCTGGATTTCATCTTTAAATTACTCCAATCTTTCTTCCACCAAAATTAGAACAGTGAAGAGCGGAGATGAATTAAAACTCTCAAACTTTAGTCGAATACATATCTAACAAAAGCTTTGACTAAGTAAATAAAGACCAATCCCCTCATCAGCCTCCATAAACAACAGTACTGACTTTTTACACTAATAAAAAAAAAAAAAAAATCAGGGTAACCATATTATTATTCTAAAAGATACATTTAAATACAAACTACAAATATCAGAGGAGCAATGCAGCTCATTAAACTAAATCCATGTAGGCACAGAGTAAATATTCATGAAAGAAAATTGAATCGTACGTTCAGAGTATTTCTGAACACCAGAAGTGAATTTCAGCTACTGACAGTTGCAAATTTTCCATGATCCTCAGTAAGATTTTTATGCATTTACAGAATTTCAAAGGCACAGGAAATAATGAATTTTTCAGTGTGGGAATTTAAAACCTAGAGGTTGTCTTCCTTAGGACTTGTTTTTCAAAACAGCCTGCATCCTATACAGTGCACTCCAAACTGCACTCCAAGATGACCCAAGGGCAGAAATCAGTGATAACTTCCTCAGCAAGCACAGAAATCTACTCCATCCCCTCTCCATTTCAGGACTTCTTCAGTTCAGAACTCTTTGGACAGAACAAGAAAAGACAGGACATGCAAAGCCTGTGCTTTTACTGCTGTGCAGGAAAAGCAAGATGAGCTGATTGTTTAGGGCCTGGGAGAAGCTCACCAAACTCAACACAATCCTTTCTGTTGATTTTAGTGGCTTTTCCACCAGGCCAAAAACAGATAAAACATCGCAATGAGTGATTGTGGCTCGGTATCAGCACACCCACCCCGTTTCACTGATCAGTACTTGTTGGTGATTTGGCAAATGTGTTTGTACATGACACAGCAGGAAATACAACATTTGGAAATAGCACTTTGTCAGACAAAACCGCTTGCCTGGTGTTAGACAGTAACGAGTATTAAGCGCTGGCTGCTCATTCCAGCCAGTGAAATGCTGTTGCAAATGAAAGATGAAGCATTGCATGAAGCCATGCTAAAATGGATAGAAGGATGGTTACTTACCAACGGGGCGAGCTGTTGACATTACAATGATGTAGTGAGAACATAAAAAGGAAATTAAAAAAAGAAAAGAATATCTGTCAGAATGCATGACGTGTAATGTAACTTTCCACTATGGATACTACCATGATTGCTAACCCCTCAAATGGCAGTCTAAGTCAAATGTTCACTGCTGTTATTGTTTAGTCACGTGCCACTATCATCCCATTTACTTGAGCATAGCATCTGAACAAGCTGACTGGAACCATTCTCTGAGAAACATTTTTATTATCTTCACATGCCATCATCAAGTATCATTGTTAATGCCTGATAAAAGAAAAATTGCATTGCATTAGCACAGACTTTTAGATCCCAATGAACACATCATTTTAAGCCTCACACTGCCTAATGTCATGCAAGGCATTTGCTTTCTGAGTCAAATACCAACTGAATTTTAAGCATGACCAGTCAGTACAGCAGTAAGGGCTACAGAAAGCCCAGGACAGTTTTTCTCATCCAATAATGGGCATGAAAGCTTACAGCACAGTGCTTTTTCATCACTGACAGTGCTGATGAAAATATAACAAATAGGTTGAAATGGCCACAGGAGCTTCAACCCAGAATCTCCCAAATCACTGCTTAGGTAACTTCAACTTGCTAAAAAATTGCTGTTAAGGGATTGACAGGTTAATACTGTTTCAGGCTGATATAGAGATTGAAAGTTGCTGCTGCAACAGGTGATTTCTTGGTTATAGCAACATCCCTTCATTATACTTGTGCTGGGGAAGAGAGCTGTCAGTCCCTCTGCTAATAAAATATAGACCTCTCTTTCAGAAGAGCTGAAAATTTGGACATAAAATTGACTCCAGGTTGCATCTGTGTAGGCAAAGCTTCCCTTATTTTATCAGCAGCAATAATTACACATTTCTGAGCAACAGCACAATTCTTTTTTTTTCTTTTTTTTTTTTTTTTTTAATTTTTAAGAAGATTACCAGGGCTGTGTGCTTATGTGCAGGCTAGGGTCAAATGTAAGACATGCAAATTCAGAGATAACAGAGCTTGCAAGGGCCTTCTTAGCTCTCAGCCTTTCCATGGCTCTGTCCCCATTTCATTTAACTGTGTCTAGTCTGCTGCCATCCTCACCCATCATCTATTGGAACACTTTTTGACTTCCAGTACTCTGGACATATTCCTTCTTCTGCAGAAAGATGGGGTGTAAGAGTGATACGCATCTTTCCAAGAGAGAACATGGAGTCTGGGTCACAGAACTCAGATTCTCCTGTTGTTTGTGACAGTGTAATGCAACTTTCATGACTGCATTCCCATCCTCTGGTTTAAGAAGATGGAGCTGTGAATGAGGGAGATAAGGGTTACATGGTTTTTGGCAGGTGTGCAGATGGAACTACATGATACCTGCAAGGTCCAAGATAAGATCAAGGTAAATTTTGAAATGCTTAGTGGTTTTGCTCCTTTACAAGACACGGTAAAACCAGTGTCAGACAACAGTGTTAATTAAAAATTCAGAATTAAGGCTTTCTTTAATTAGGAAGCCCATTGTTCATTATCCCTTTAAAGTCAAAGGGAAATTTCCTAGTCCTTTGTTTTCATAAAATTCGGAGTAATAGCTTTCTCCAATGCATTGCTTGTTTTTTCTCATTTTCTGTCATATCTTGAACACGTAGTATGTTCCTAATGTCATGGCTTCCTTTGTATTGAATAAGCACTATATATTTGACTGTAAATTACAAACCCAGGGGAAAAATACACAAGATAATGAAAACATGCTTTTACTGGGGGAAAATAGATTAAATTACAAATTTCCTTGTGTTTTTTTCCCTTTAATTTCATTGGGTTCAAGCTTCGGTGATTTCAAAGGATTTTTTTGCTGGGTTCTAGCTACTGTTTACATTACAAGTCAGGGTAGCAAATCCTAAAGGCTTGCTCCAGTAATGTACACAGTGGACAGAGTTCTAGGAGTGTTAAAAGGCCAGGGAATTGGCTACCAGAATTACTGGACATTGTAACCCTGTCTGTGACAAAGAACAGAGTAAGACTGTTTCTGGGAGTTTGCTGTGGTGACTAATTTTCCCACATTACAAAAGAGAAGAGTAATCTCTTACACACCTATGTCTTCAACTTAAAATGGGAAGAGCCATATTGTCACTTACAGTCTAAAGTGAACACGGAGTTAATATTTCAAAAGATTATCACAAAGCTCTCTTTTCTTTGTTACATATCAACATCTCTCTGCCCACAAAGCCACTCTGGCTTTTTTTTTTTTTTTTTCCTTTGAATTCAGCAAATTAAACTGAACTGTGTCCATGCATTAAATGGATGGAAATGGAAGCTGGCCTCTTGGGTCAGTTGACCCCAGTTCTAATAAAGCAATCCATTGAGACTTTGAACATTTGATTTAATGTGTATGAAAAGAGGAGGACAGATAAAGCTAAAAATGTTTTTATTAACCTTTCCCAGCTCTACTGAAAACCGTCAGCATGCACCACTAAACTGTGAAATAGTGTCTGCATGATATCCATTGTGCCAAATTGCTGCTTCTCTTTTGGAATGAGGTAATAACTATTATATTCTATTTACTCAAATAGAAATACTAGCTTACAAACTTTTTCTCTCCCCATAATCTTTAGCATGTCTACATCTACTGTCACAAAAGCTTTTTTGGCAGCTCATTATTCCACCAGCCTTAAAACCTCCTTACCAAATCAAAGACCAGCACATAACTGTGAGTGGATACTAGAGACCACAAATATTTTAGGAGAGAATAATTAGTCTTTACCTTGTAATGCTTAAAAAATTTAATTAGGATTTTATCTTTCCTTTGGCTATGGTTTATTTTTTGGATAAAGGGTAGTGGTAGAGAGCTTAATTATGGCAGAGCTAATCTCATAATAATATTATCTGTATTATGTTTGTCATTAATAAATATAGTTGCTATACTCCTTATACTTCTTAGAGAAAGAAACGTGACTAATAGCCTGAACTGATGGCTCACATATTAATGCCTATTCTCCCAGTTACGTAGTGCTTGCTTATGCATACATGCATCTCTTCTTCTATAAAACACATCGGGGCAGGACTTTAACTGCAGGGGGATCCTATCCCACCGAAATAAATTAAAATTTTCCATGAGATATCAACAGGACCAGGATTTCACCTGCGCTGTAAATCAGTGCAGCAGCAGCCACCATTGCAAAGGGCGTGTGGAAGGCAAACAGTGGCAGGGAAGGATGTGGCCCATCTCATCAGAAAGCAATTATCCATGTAGGACACAGGCCCTGCCTCTGTGGGAGCACTCACCTCGCACGGTGAGCGTAGCAGAGGCTTCCACCTTGCCCACGCGATTCTCAGCGATGCAGGTGTAGGTGCCTTCATCCGTGCTCATGGCTTTCTTAATGCGCAGCGTGTAGTCGTCTTTGATGTCATACCTGGGGCACAGCAAAAGAATGAAAACTCTTTTTGTGGGCAACAGGAATGGACAAAAACTATCACCTGGAAAATGCCAGTCTGAATCTATCTTGGAGCCAACTTTGGAAGATAAATTATTATCCAGCATTAGATAATTCCACGAAGCATTAATCTCCATGACATTTTTATTGCACTCTGCATTAGTTAGAAACTTTACATAAAATTAGTATTGCTATGTTCAGTATTAGGGCTTTATTAGTAATATCATTCACTTTGTCCTTGATCTAGAGGAATAAGATAAAATTAAGGTATCAGACATCAGTTATCAATACATGACAGGTCAGGTTTATCATGCCTTTAACTATGTGAGCTACATGTTTTACCTTTTGCTGATTTGGAAATTTCCTTTTATATACATTTTCCCCTACAGCAGCAATCCCTTAGAGAATGATGAGCATGGATCTCACACTACTCAATTGCAAACAATAAAAAATATACTCTAGCACTGGAAGGTGACATTTATTGAAGAGGCACATTAAAGAAGATTTATCAATTTCACAGGAATACAACAAAATGATTCAATAAGGGTGGACAATGACATTTTCTCTTTCTTAAAAGAAATTAGAAACAATTCAATTGTGCTTTGTCCATTTCTTTGCTTCTACTTGTTGAAATAATTCTAAAACTATGAGGATGTATAAAACTTAATTAATGCAACACACTCCAATATGTAGTGAGCATTTATTCTCAAGGCATTTAGATTGATTATACCCAGAAAAATATTTTCAGTTAAATTGTTCTTATCCTGCAGAAGTCATGCTTAACAAAGTATTTTAGGCTCTGATCCAAAGCTCATTAAAGTTAATAGGAGACGTCATGTTGTATAAAATGTCTTTGGTTCCAAAATCAGGAAAACTCTGGTTATCAGCAATAGATACTTTACCCTTTAAATATTATTTTGTTAAATTATTTTCAACAATATTTCTTCTTGATATAATACATTAAAGTCACCTTGAATCTAGACTTGGCTTCCGATTTACATGTATCAGTGAAACAGGAACACAAAACTAAAGATATCTGGACTTCAGGAGGTGTCAGTACTATTTCTCACTTTATACACAGTCATGACATAATTTTAGAAGGACGCATTTACTTTGTTTTTGTTATGCAGTAAAGACCTTATAGAGTTGTATAGGAAACACACTGAAATCATATGGAAGAGCACCCTTAAATGTTTGGATGAATAAGGATGCAATGCAACAAATCAGAGGAATGTCTTCAGGCTCTATGAGCATTTTTAGATCCTTTGGCAATGTGAAAGATAACTTTTTTGGTGTACATAATGTACATTGCTATTGGTTCATTCAGTATAGGTTTGTAGAGGTAGCACTGTGTGCTAACAGACTTCAAAGCATCCTAACTCAAAGATCTCATATGGTGAAATATTTAAATTTCTGTTAGGTCTAACTAAAGCTCACAACATTAATTAGAGCATTCCTAGAAATTCCAAGAACAAAGAGCAGTCAAGACATTCTTTCACACTCACTGCAATAAAACTTCTTCCTATATTCAGTAGATTCTATCAATTAGCAAGAAATAATTTAATAAAGATGAATTTGAGGCTAACCATTCTGTTAGAGTTAACATAAACACATATAGCGCCCATTTCCTCAGGAGTTACACTTAATTGTATGTATACGCAGTACCTCAGATTTAACTGATGAATAAGAAATATGCCAAGGGGAAGAATAAGTAAGTAGATGCCATGGCAAACTTTAGAAACTTGTAGGGAAATTTTTTTTGCCAGCATAGTGCCATTGGTAGTGGTGAGGGGGGCAGGTAGTTATGATGTTAGAGAACTTAATATGCACTTTCTGGAGAACTAGACATCTATTACAACTACATTCAATAGCCTCATGCAGCTTAAGAACATTTCTTCTAGACTGCTCACAAATTATGTCATTTTGCATGCTGTGCTGTGTTAGTCAATGGCAAATAAAAATCACTGTTTTCATAAGACAGAAAAGGCAAATTGTCCCCCTTAAAAATCTCAAGAATATGCCAACATTATCCCACAACGATGGAGCAGCTATTTGTCTTTGGTGACTGCAGAGTTGCAGACAAGAGCAAATGCTTATTTTCTTGATGTGAGGCCAGCTCTAGGAGACTGAAAATATAAATTCGTATTAAGCTCCTGTATGATGAGAAAACTAAGATCAGTTGTAATATAAATATGAATTGGATACTGGAATTAGGCCTATAAAGCTGGGCAACAATTAGCCATCTATGCAATTGATTTTTTTTTTTCCCCCCATACAACAGATAACATCCCTGTTTCACTTACTGCTGCTGAGAGCAAAACAGACAGGCAGCAGGACTGTATGTGAGTGAGGGGTGGTATGTATCTGAGTGAGGATGTATCTGAGCTGGGATGCAGGCAGGCTGGGACAGGGAGCTCCAGCTGACTCACCCTGCTTCCTGTCACGGATGTGCTGGTGCCGGCATGCCAGCCAGCTGCCTGGGAGGCTGTGGCAGCCTTTATCCCTGCACCTGCCAGTCATGCACATTGTGCCAAGGCTGCTGGGCGCAGGAGCCAGCTGCATGGCATGCCAGGACGCAGGGTGGTGGGAACAGCCACCAGCTCCCACTTGGGTCACCAAACGGAGGGTGGCGTAAACATGCCACTGGCGTGGTCCAGTTAACAATCACTTCGAGGACAGGTTCGGCTCTCCCAGTCTGCTCCTCCAACAGGCCATACTTTTGGCCCACCCTGACAGAAGGTGCAATCCAGCCATTGGATTCATATATGGATGGACCTGTGGGGCATCAGAACCATCTGCTGTCCTGCAGTACTGATATGCTGCCCATTAGTCATCTGTTCCACCCCCACTGTCCCCACAGTTCAGTGAAGAGCTTTGGCACATGAAGCAGACAGGAAGGAGAAAGGAGGAAAACTGGCTTTTAGCCTGACCCACAGCAGCACAAACAACATAACAAGGAATGAAGACTGAAAATCTTGAATTTCTCAAGCATCCACCTGCCCAGCCTTGAGCAGTGCCTTGTCTCCTCTCTGTCCTAGATCCTCTAATCCCCATAGCAAGACGTTTTCACCTCACTTTCTGTGGAAGTTCACTCTCATCTGGATTAGTGTTCCTGAACGCTTGGGAATGAGGATCAGGGTTCTCTGTGCTAATACCAATCACAGAGACCTTTTACCAGGCTCCTGGATTGACAATGGAATGACAGAAAACTAGGGTGCAGTGGTTAAATTGCTCCTTAACGTTGCCAGTACATGAAGAAGGCTATGTCTTCAAAATATGTGCAGTGTCAAGAAACAACTTGTGACATATTGCCCAAATATTGCTGACTCCTAGCCAATTAATGCAACATTGAGGTAAAACCACATGGTGTCAGACATCAGTTTCACATGTTTATGGACATCTAATTGATTTTAACTACTTCTCTTTGTTAAACATTCGGAGGTGCTTAACCTTTCGGCTCAGCTTAGACTTCAGCTGTCAGACTGAGCTGGGAGAGGTCTCTTGAACAGTCAGTCAGTCTGTGCCAGATATAAACCAGCCACTTTTGGGCACCATATTACATAATTTCTATTCTACAAGAAATAGAGCAGGTCTGCCTTTAATTAAGCAAAAAGGAAGGGGCTGGCAGGGGACTGGCAAGGAAAAAAGAAAGAGAGAAACAAGAGGCACATGAGAAAACACTGCTGGTGAGGAAATTCTAATAGAAATTGGGTGATTTTGAGTGAAATCTGGCAGTCTCTGGCACATGTGAATGCATTCATTGTTGCTAGTTCTGATTAATGACAGTTGTACAATAGTGTGCTGACAGTCACTGCCATACAGACACAAATTTTTTTTTGATATGAAACACTGCTGAAAATGCAACCCAATCAGATTTGGCCCCTGAACAACATGTGCTATCATCACTGTACTGTGAATTGAGATTGATTGGTAACCAGCTGTGACAAAGTGGGAAAAAGAGCCTTGTCTTTTTCAAGAAAAGAAAAGAAGAAAAATAAAAAAACAAATTGTGTCAAAACCATTACCATCTGCTCAGCCAAATAGCAAATAAAACAAAACACATTAACTGTTTTTAAGTATCACAAATTAATGTACTGAGGTTGAATTCATGTGTTAACTTAAGCATCTAAGAATAAACTTGAATTGAACTGGTTTTGTCACAGTTGGATTTTTTTTCTTCACATTTGGAAGTTTATCTGTTCATACACAGCCATCAATCTTCCTCATGATTATCAAATAAAAAATTGAGAAAATTTTGCTGAATTTAGATGTATTTAGCAATGGTTTTTTTTGGTTTTGTTGCATTTGATACAAATTTTCCACAGTGTTTTGCAGAACCTCTAGTTTCCATATTTTCAAAAATGTGCTTGCAGCTATGCATAAAGAAAAATGCACCTCTTTTGTATTTAACATGCACAGATAGCAAAAATGCAGCTGCAGCTGGAGTCATTACATTCCTAAATATCCAAGTAGGCCTAACTGTTAATACAAGGATGTACTTGCTTTAGCAGTCTATTTTAAACTTCACAGAATATACTGCTGAACTCAACAAATCCAACTCAAAGTCTTATTTCTTGCTAAGGGGATATTGCAAGAGGAAAAAGTCACGTCTAAACTGTTAAAGACTGATGCCACTGGCCTCAAAAAAATTGGATCAATTTATACAAAGTATATATTTTCATCTAAAACATTATTTGAAATAAAAAACGTTAAATAAAAAAATTAGAATCTTTGTATGCACACATTGTAGGCTTGCCTTTTCTTTTTCTTTTTTTTTTTTTTTAGAGATGGCACAAAAATGACTTTGCTCTATTTTCTTTTGCCTGCCTGCCAGACTATTTTGCAGAACACGCACAAAGCTTCAAGACTGCTCACAACATCGATGATTAGGGAGCCCAAATAGAGAGATGCTACTGGCCAAAACCAGGGTAAACAGGAGGTAGTTAAGGAGGCTTAAGCTTCTGTCTCCACTTCTGTTT